CAACAATATTCGCTATACTTTATTTTATTTAGCAACAGCTCAAGGTTCTCATATATTTCTTTGAGATGCACGGAGTGAGCAACAGGCATTGAGACATAAGTATTACCATTGTGCAACAAGACATCCTTCAGACTTCTCTTATTAGAAGAATATATAGAAGAATCAATTAATAATCGCCATGATATGGAATCGTAAATGTGAGCTCCCAGTTTTATGACTGCTTTCTATTATTTTTATTATTCTACGAATTCTTTTTTACGATGCCTATATCACGAAAATGTGGTACCTGAAGCCCAATCGATTTTTATCATTCAGCCGTGATCCTAAGATTTGTGCAACACCCTTCGATAGACCTAAGGCTCTCACTAAGTCATTTAGTTCAGCTTGGATAAACTTTTGAGGTTGATCTATCGAAGGATTGAATTCGTCTTTGTCAGTTTTTTCGTCAGTAGAAAGGTATGCACTTCACTTCACTTTGACCTTTGACCTCTGAGATGAACAACGATCGCTGTTTTCATCGCTTTTTACCGCTGTTTTCATCGCTTTTTACCGCTTTTTTAAAAGCGATAGAAAAGTGATTGTTTTTCATTGCTTTCTTTAAGATCTTTAAAAAAAGTCTATTTATCAATGATTTTACATGTCATGAATGTGTTGCTTGTGTGAGTCCATTTCAAATAGGTAAATGAAATAATAATTAAGACTTACTCACAATCAGTTTAATTTAACTATCTAGACGATCGGTTTCGCTTTCTACCTTATGCAAAGCATCTTCAGGTCTGTCGATACAAAGTTAATTAAATGCTGAAATAATAAAACCCATATTAGGGTGTTGTCTTATAAATAAACAAATTAATTAATAGAGTACCAGAATGTAAGTAATGTTTTGTTTATTTACTAATTTATTACAATTCAATAGACTATTTTTATACCAATTTGTGGGTCTTACTTACTTTGTCTACTTATACGGTTTATTCATTTTTTTAAAAACCACAGACATGTAATATTGACATAGTTACTGTAATTTATATCATTTATCTTTGTTTATCTTTATAAGACAACACCCTAATATGGGTTTTATTATTTCAGCATTTAATTAACTTTGTATCGACAGACCTGAAGATGCTTTGCATATTGTAGAAAGCGAAACCGGTCGTCTAGATAGTTAAATTAAACTGATTGTGAGTAAGTCTTATTTATTATTTCTTTTACCGATTTTACATGTCTTTATATGAGATATTACACACTTTATAAGTGCGTAAAGTAATAAAGAAGGTGTCCGACCCTCCTTTACAATTAGGTAATTAACGTAATAAACATAATAAAATTATTTCAATTTGAATATTTTTTACCTGGTAATTATTCTGTGACATATAACAATTCCATTATATTTACTAAAACTCTACTTGATTTCAGTTATTTTATATTCATAAAAAGGACTCACAATTCGATTTCGTTTAGCCATGTACTCACGACTCGAATCAGAGTAAATTTTTTAAAACAGTTAAAATTTATAATTTTTAAAATAAAGTATTTTCATATTTTCAATATTTAGAGCCAATTGTTCGAACGCTAACCAACACTTGATTGTAATCAAATATTTAATTAAAATCAAATACGTCACATTTTGGGGTTATGTTGACTGATTTATTTTATTCAATTTTATTATTTTGCGTTATAATTTAAAATAAACCATAATTAAACTCTTTCTGATGTTAATTTTATGTTTTTCATTTACAAATCAATAATAATAATAAGAAATTTTTAATCATTTTGTGAGGGTGGTAATAAATTAGTGAAAAATTGGTGAAAAAATATTACGTAGGTTAAATTGGATTCCGCTTATTTGTCCCTGCTAGCTTAAGGCTTATCCTCGAAAATTGTAACGGTAAAATTTAGAGGGATATCTATTTCAAAAATATCTTTCTTTACGAAAACAAAATCCATTCACGAAGAATATTCTAAACGTCATCTTGTACTAGAGGTTAGCTTTATACCCACCTTATACAATCCCTTATTGTGAAAAGTCTTGGGTCTATACAATAAAGCGGGCCGGCCTTCTACACAGTGCGGTTTTGGGGTAATTAGAATAATACGAGTATACCAGAGTAATATTATTTATTGAATAATTATTTCACAAATTAGCAAGGGTACATACAGGTAACACATAATTGTCCTGTAAATCATAACAATCAAATCGAAGACAAACTTTTATAAAATTTTATTGCAAAATAATGTATAACAAGATATTTTGAGGTCACAATTTTTATTTTTTATGTCTTATATTTTCTTGTGTTACCTTTTTTACTGACAAATTGGATTTTTAACGTAGATTACAGTTTGATGATAAATATTCTGAAATGGAAAATGTTGAGATGTGGCGAATAAAAATATTCATGAAATTAAAATGAAAGGATTTACGTCTATTAGTAGTGTGATTTATAAAATTAGTACTTGAAGCCCAAATCGCGGGAGGAATATGTGCATCCGTTTTCAAATATTTATTATTTACTATATAATTTCTAAATTAAACCACTTTCACTTCTTTAGGTAACAATGTATCTGTTTTGACAACTAAATAGGTAATTAGACAAAATAATGAGTATTATAAATTCAAAACAGGAGTTTAAAGAATTAGAAGGAGGTAGTCCGGGCCCAGTTGAACGGTCAAGCTTATTCCAGTGGAAGAAATAAGGAGGATTATTTTTCGTTTTGGCTCAGCTGACATGCTCTCTCTAGCACTACAACCCATGAAACTGGCGTAAAAAGCATTTATACGGTTGTGAAACACGACGATTAACAGAGACATCGACGAAAGATATCTCGTCGAACTGGATGCAATAAAGTATGAGAATAGAAGGTACAGTCATGGATGGCATACAACGAAAGCAGCTCAAATGCTACGGACAGGTCCAATGAATGAAAGATAGTAGACTCCTGAAACAAGTACCTGTATGAACACCTACAGGAATTCAGAAGAGAGGATTACCTTAGAAAACACGGATGGAAGGATTAAGAAACTTAATGAGCTCAAAAGAACTTAAAGAACAATGTAACAACCGAATTGAATGAAAAATGGACGTCAGAAGACGTTTTATAGGGATTATATCATATTACAGGTACATTTTTTGGATTAAAAATAAATTTGAAGAAAACCAAGTTCATAGTATTTACAGAAGCACAAAGCATCAAAGTTAAGCTAGTACTAGATAATACAGAAATTGAACAAATATCTTCGTACAAATACCTTGGAGCATGGATCACAGAAGATACTGATTAGAGAAAAGAAATAAGATGCCGCATTGGAATTGCACGGTCAACTTTTAATAGAATGAGAAAAAAGTTTTTTGTGATCGCGATATCAATATATCGCTCCGGATAAGAATGCTTCGATGTTATATTTTCTTTACCCTTTTATGTGAGATTAAAGCTTGGTCACTTAAAAAATCCAACATTAAAATCGGCATTTTGAAGCTAAAAATATTTAGCTTTCTAATGGAATGCAAAAAATCTAATGAATCGCGTTTTTTGCATTAAATTATTAATCATTAAAAAACGGCTAAGAACTTTACGCAGGAAACAGGTAGGTTTTCGTCTTATAGGTCTACAATAACTAAAAAAGTTGTCAGCTACCTGGATTATTGAGTGTCACGAGAAAATCCTTATTATCTTGGACTAATATGACTGGACAAGCAAGTGAAGAAACAAACTTCATATATTATGTGAACTTTACTAACAAAACCGTTCAAAATAAATATTCCAATAAATATAAATAAACAAATTCCATATTCAAATACTACTACAAAATATTTGAGTATTACTCTAAGCTTATGTAAAGAAGAAAAGAAAATAATACTTCTGATTGAAATACAAAAAAATGTACTGGCTGATTGACCAAAATTCTACGCTGTTTCTACATAATAAATTATTATATAAGCAAATACTGAAACAATAGTATTATTATAATAACAGTATAAACATTTAGAAGGAAAATGTCACATATCAACAGAAAATGTTTCTATTCATATAAAATTTTAATTAAATTATAGGTACTTACTGCTTATTTATATCAAATTTCCTCAATCGGAACATAACGTCTTCGTGAACTACCCATTTTAAAAAGAATTAACACACTGGTTTGTCAAAAGTCGGAATAAACCCTAATAATGTTATTCAACATTATTTATGATCCACCCTCGAGAGCGTATTATACTTCTTACCTAACCAACCTAACCGTCGGAGAGAATCCAGAAACTATCGACAAGGACAGCCTGTACTGACCGAGAGAGAGAGAGAGAGAGTTACATTTAGCAAAATTTGAGATTTTTAAAAAACTTTATACCAAATAGCTGCTTTGTGTTACACTTTATGTTAAATATAAAAACAGATTCGGAAAGTGATTCAAATTCTGTAGTGCCCTATTTAAAAAAATTTACGTTTATTTTAACCAAAAATATTTGAAAAAAAAATATTGTTTAAACAATTTATTAATTTACAACCAAATAGTGCACTAGAACTTTTTAAGACCTTCCATATAAAAAAATAATCATCACAATATCTGCCATAGTTTTTGCGTTATTTAATATAAACTTTTACATTGGAATTTAGCTATGCCCAGAATCGCGAGGAACGGCCTTAAGAGTCCCTTCTGACCTCTTATAAAGCTTCATATTTCCTTTTGTGGATCATAAAAAATAAAACAGAAAATTAAAAAAAATATATTCTACAGATGAAATATCTAGACGCTTTTAAAGTCTTTAAAACAAGACTTACTGAGTTAAAATGGATTCATAAACAAAAAACAAAACTTGTATTAACTGTAAGACTTTCTACAAATAAATCGCGCCGTTTAAAAATGGTTCCTTGCTTAGAGTAATTAGTAACGATTCATATTATTTTTCCTTGTTCTAATTTAAGTGAATAAGTAAACAGCAATTCAGAAGAGGAAAGATAAAATTAATTCAGTCAAATTCAAATTCGCTTTCAATAACTTATGTTTGCAGATCTGCGGGGAGCTCAAACGGTATCCATTATGCTGAACGGAGAAGAATCCGAATTAACATTTCAAAACACAGGGACGTTAAAGGTAAGTTATTATTATTTTATTTTAATTTATTCATTCATTTTCATTACTGAATCGATCACAGTGATTATTAGGTTTTCAATTTTCAATAAAGACACCCAAAGAAAATTATTCGACGGTAAAATTTGATGCCGCAGAATAAAACGGAGAAATTTATTTTGTGTGGGATTCTTTAAAGAAATGAAATCGTTTGACACTTAAATGTTTTATTCCTCACAAAGAATTACTAAAAAGAGACGAACAGAAATGTGAAAACAACTTCCCATCATAAAACGTCACATTTATTATCTTGTCCATGCTTTGACAAGGAAATATGTTTCTTATTACAAATTAATATAAAAGAAATTAAGCAGGAAAAGGAACTGAAATAAAATAAGTATATACAGCTTAGGAAGTCAAAGATGTGAAAATCGTACATGTCATTAAATTTCACAGGTGGATGCATATTTTATGCTGGCTGTAACAGACATCATTCTGCCCGTGCATGACTAGACTGAACTGCTAAATTCTTATTACGATTGACTCTAGAAAAATATAATATTTCTTTATTAAAGTAAAAAAATTTTTGCACATTTAGTAATAAAGAATGTTCGTTCTATAACCTACAATTTTGCCCATCACTGTCTAAAATTTCCAAGCGACAAGGACTTTTGCTACCTTAATTTTAATGGTTAATCGCAAGTCTTGCAAGTACATACCGAAGATACCTTCCTTTCACTATTCTTTGCGGTTTCTGAAGTGACTGACATGTTATTCCGGGAAAGTTAGCTTTTTACATTATAAAATTATGTACATGCGCGAACAGTAGTAACGAGAGTGAATTTTTGTCTTTAAGTAAAAAGTAGTGAATCATTTGTAATTCAAACGAGCTTAAGAAACACCACTCAGGCAGATTTTATGATTATATGAGAATGAGTCTGGATACATTTCAGAATGTTTGTTGTACCATCCGTATCTCTGGCGACTGTCACGTGGTTTGAAAACCACCAATAAACTTTTAAATTACCAGGCGATCAACAGCTCGATCGCGATTTAAAACAAACTATTTTGTTTTGGCATTGACACAGGTCGCGAGGGCAAACGGGTGAAACATCCTTGCTATGTGCAATCTCATAAGAAAATTAAGGTTTGTTTTTATATCGATGTATCGACCGCGACCTCCATCGCACACATACATGTATCTTCGGTATATTCGTACCCTAAGGGAGCTGTTATACAAGCGATAATGATGCAGAAAATAAGGCGCATAATTTCCAAGTTAAGGTAAATTCAGACACATCAGTCACGACTCGTCACAGTCCTGGCGCCGAACCGAACAATCCGTCATACAAAATATTCTTTAATAGAAATATGGCGCCGGCATTCACATTCATCAGGCGAGCCAGCTGTCAGATAATTAACGGTTTCCCAGCTGTCAGATAATTAATAGTTCTGTGACCAAACAGGACCGGTTCGGCGCCGAGACTGTGACGGGACTGATGTGTCTGAATCGACCTTAAAGCTGGATTTATAGTTTGACGGACTGTAGACGCAGACGCGCTGGAAAAAGATCAACATAGACTTTTGTGTACTCTTATTTATAAATGAACGTAAACGCATGACGGGACGTAAGCCGACGCACTGTAACGGAAGAGTTGGTCAACTTTCATCTTTTACAGTGGGTTACTTGCTTCTGGTCAATCAAAAAGAAGGAATTTTGTGCTGTGAACCAAAGTGGACTGTCTGGCCCGCCCACCATTTTGTAAAGTTTCTTATCAACATATTCGAATTTTGATTTTGTTGATTATTTGTTACAATGGACGTTAAGAATTTATAAAATAATAATAAAAAATAATAAAAGGATATTATAGTATCATGGTCATCAGTGTAGCCACTATTTCTACCCATGCGCAAAAATATAACTCCGTCGATTTATAAATTGAAATAATATTTACAGTCCGTTTGTTACGTCTCCAGTGCATCTACGTCTACAGTCCGTCAAACTATCAATCCAGCTTGATACGTAACTAGTTACGTCGCGTTGAGATCATTTTGTTTGCGTTGTCAGCGCTACGTATAACTTGATGCTCTGTGAAACCCGTGAACTGCGCACTACCAACGCGAACATCTGTACTAAACTCTGTTTTTTAACCAGGAGGAGTAAACCAAAAAGACAGATTCACACTCAAAAAAGTTACTAGAAAAGTCACCAAATACATCTTCTTTTTTTGTTGATTAGCTCGGCCTTGCGGTAATCGAGTAATCAATATTGGACAACCTCACACGTCAATTTTAACCTAACTTTGTTTATTTATGTTTGAATAATAAAATAATTTTTTCAATTCACTTCCAATATATATTACAATAAAAAAGGACGTTTTTCACATTTAGTCCCATGTATATATATTTAAATATCGGGTGATCCAGTTATATAGATCTCTTAAGTCTATGGTACCTATTTAATTATATATATTTAGAGAATATTTTGATCGAGAGAGTCAATAATGTTACAGATCTAAGTATGGTTTTTCTCAGAAATTTGTCTTTTAATAGATCATATTCTTATTCTGGTATGATCAATTTCTTGAATCTAGTTTTTTTTCTTACCAGATACTTTGTATAAATAAGTGTGTACTTACAATTTCTTTAATGCTGGATTCTTGTTTAATTTTGACAGTGAGTTTGTCCCATTTGTTATCAACAAATAAAATTTACTAAAAAATACTGGATTTCTGTGAGATAATTAACAAATCCAATCTATTATGTTACATTCTTGCATAATTTTGCAGTTTTTTTGTGATGATCTACAACGAGGAAGAACAAAACCAACTGTATCATACAATACAATCAAACTAAAACACAACATTACTTTACTAATGTTCTTTTATTGTGCTTCTTAACAAGTATACACTAAATTTAAAAGATAGTTGCCGTTTTTCTTATAATAATTAGATATAAATAACATACATTTATAAATTTATAAACACTTTAAACTATATTTAGTATAAATATCATCTAGAAAAATATCACATTAAATACTATTCGCATATCACCAAGTCCAAGTTATTACAAACAACTTAAAGAGTCAGAAATCGATTTATATATTAGAGGAAAATAATAATAATAAATAAATTTCATAAATGTCATTAGTGTCAATATGTCATAATTTAGTGGAGTAAACTTGCCTGCGGTTGGACCAATTGCAAACAAGCATTACGGCGCGGAAAATTTGAATTACTCCTCCTGGTTAAAAAACAGACCATAGCAACGCTTGACGTCGGGATAAAGCAGACTTACTGTCGGCAATATCGGTCGTATAATTTAAGGTCGATTCAGACACATCAGTCCCGTCATAGCCTCGGCGCCGAACCGATCCTGTTTGGTCACAGAACTATCAACTATCTATCAGCTGGGATCAACTGATGAATGTGAATGCCGGCAACATTTTGTATTAAAGAATATTTTGTATGACGGATTGTTCGGTTCGGCGCAATCACTGTGACGAGACGTGACTGATGTGTCCATAGACCAAAATCAAATAGATGGCGAACTCAATAATGACATTTAGAAGCTAAAAGGCGACATCTACAAATTTGAAGAAACTAAATACAACGTTGCCACACTATTGCCTCTGATAGTTTTCTTATTCAGTTAAAAATACAGAGTGCACTCAGGGTGAAATATGTTTCGAATGTTTTTAGAAAAAAAAGGATAAATAAAAATGATAATTAACAAAAAAAATTTGATTTATTAATTTATTTAATTTTATAGTGTAAATTGAACATGGATATTTGCACCATACCACACATAAGTTTTGTAAAAAATATTATTATCTATATTGAATAAAATATTAAAATAAATATAAACCATCTGACCATCTGAAGTGAATAACAAAACAAACATATTAATCAAAAAAAAATTAACTTGTTAAAAAAATCTACAATTATAGATCATTCTTACCTTAACAAATACAGATTAAAACTTAACTATAATAAATTAAGAAACTAAAATAAATTTCAAAATATCTATATGGTTTTTGTCTATGGATGTGTCTGAATCGACCTTAACTCCATGGTAATGCCAGTCTCCGGTGGGGCCGACGGCAACTTGGCGCTGCTAACGCGACGACATTACCGCCTTTCAGGACCCTTATGTCACCTCGGGGTAAATGGAAGGTCTTGCCACCTTCTGTACCACCGTGTGCTCTGTAGAGGGGCTTCGAAAACATCGTGAGCTCCTCTACTTTTGTCCATTTTCAGGGTATGGACTTCAAAATGTTTTGTTTCCTGATGGCTCGTCTTAATAAAGACGAGAGATTTCTTACATGACAAATATCTTACATGATAGTTGTCGAAATAAACATCAGGTTTGTTGTCTTCGATGTCTTGCCTTGAAAAAGGCAAGTTATTTCTTACATGACCAAATATACATAGGTCGAAATAAAACACCAAAAATACAGTAGAAATAATACTCAGCCACAGAGTATGGAAAGCTAAAAAGGAAGCAGAGCCCCGAGAGCACTAAGCTCTCGGAGTGCCCGTGAAGGACTGAACTGATTGACCTGAAAATCGCCCAATTTTATACTTTCTGAAGTAGCGATTAGGGATTTCCAGGTCAGGGAGGGGCCAACGGGAAAAATAAGGGGCGGGGCGATGCGTCTCGAACGTGAACTAGTCGCGTCCGAGAACACTTATATTCCGTACAAAATATATTTCTATATGCACTTTTTTAACTTGCGTAATATTCAGTTCCCCACACCAGAGCACATTAAAATCTGTATATAGTCCTGTACTTGTCATATCGCAGTTTAGATATTCGTTCTATATATTTTTAGCTCTGCTGTAGTCACTTTGATATTTAGAAACAGATTCAATATGAGTTTTTACTGATTACGTGCTTACCTCTCATATCAAGAATATGAACCATAGCCCCGTTTGACTTTAATTAGAAATATTCTCAATTCTTTCACGAGATTTTTGAATGTATGGACGATTAGTATTCTTTAATCTCCTCATGTTCTATAT